GCCTCTTTTATAATTATGCAAAATAGAGTCCTTTGGATACACTAGAATAAGGATTGCATGACAAAATAACAAACTTTGATTGATTATACCTCGTAAACGATACCATCGAGGATTCTGAAATCTCTGCCATGTACAAAAAAACATCTCAAATAATAAGTGGTTAAAATTTCAAGAGATTCTATTGAATCTTTTTTTGAGTGAATTTCTTCAAATTTTAAGTGAGGGTGTGTTGTGTTGGTGAGTGCGCAAAACTATGTCTTCTTCCGACGATGAATCCAATCTAGGTTTGAATAACCGTGAAAAATTGAAATTATTGAAGATCTTACGAGGAAATGTCGATTGGGAGATTGAAACACAGCGAGTTGAATTTCTCTACGAACTTGACCTTTTGATCGAAGATTGGGAGGGTCAATTTCCGAACCTACGAGACTTTTTTCGTCCCAAAGAGGTTGAGTGCATTCTCAAGGACTCTATAAAGATAATAGTGGGAATTGTGAATTATGATGTAGGTGAAAGATTCACAAAGTTTGCGATAAGGGCAGGATACAGAGACGAGCCCGACGTCGACGAAGACGACAAGCCACTGCTACATCGCACTACTGCACTGCATCTGGCGGCTAAAGACAACCGCAGTAGCTATATCGTCCCTGAACTTTTTAAAATATATGACAGGTGCGACGTGAATTACATTGACCCAAATGGATTGACCCATTTTCACGTAGCCTGTGCGAATGGCTGTGACGACGTTGTTGAGAAATTTCTCGAGTTCGGCCAAGATCCCGATTGTCTTGAACAAAAATCAATCGATCCACCGCTGCACACTTGGCTGTGAAACACAATCACAAGGAAGTAGTCGCATTGCTATTGGTAAATGGGTCTAATCCGAATTTAGTCAGTGCACACGGCTCTACAGCTATGCTAATTATTTGCATGAATAAAAATCATAACGACGATGATAACTTGATGAATATATTATTCGAGCTTACCATTGACAAATACCGCCTGGTACAAGTCAATACCCCATACAAGATGGGTGCAACGCTACTACATTATGCCCTGTACTGTGGCTTCAAAAAAGTGGCCAAATTGTTGCTGAAAAACGGCGCCGATCCGACTATAAGCGATGAACAAGGATGTACACCTCTGCACGCTCTATGCTCTAGGCTCGTCGACGATGACTTGGCGCAGGTATTCTTCGAGATCTGCGACGACGTCCGACTGACGATACAGATCGATGCCCAGGACTTATCAGCTGGTGACACATCATTGAATTATGCTCTGTACAACGGCTTGAAGGTAGCAGCCGAAGTGCTGCTGAGAAACGGCGCCGACCCGAACTTCGTCAGTGCAGATGGATCGAGACCTCTGCACTGCATTGCAGTCAACAACATAACAGACGACGACTTGGCAGAAAAATTCTTTCAAATTTGTGACGACATCGGCAAGACGGTGCAGGTCGATGCGGCAAACGACGAGGGCGTGAGACCACTACACATTTCTGTAGTCTTGGGTAAAAAACAAATTGCCGAAGTGCTACTGAGAAGAGGCGCCGATCCTAATGTAGCCGACGCAAGTGGATTCACGGCCCTGCACTGTATCGCATCGCGCGAAACAGACGATGACACCGCGGAGAAATTATTTCAGATCTGCGGCGATATCCAGCGTACGTTGCGGGTCGACGCCCGGAACAAGTCGGGACACACGCCACTGCACTTGGCTCTGCAGAACGGCACAACAAGTGTGTGCGCGTCGCTGCTGAGGAATGGCGCCGATCTGACTTTGGCCAACGAGGGTGGATGGACTCCTCTGCATTTGATGTGCATACATTGCGAAGAAGCCGGCTTCTTGGTGAAGTTGTTGTTTGAGCTCAGCGACGAAAGAAAACAGCCGCTGCGGATCGACGCCCGGGACGAGTTCCATTGGACACCGCTGCACTATGCCGTGCATAGTGCCCTCGGAGAGGTGACTAAATTGCTGTTGAGAAGAGGCGCCGATCCGAATTTGGCCGACGACAAAGGAGCTACAGCTTTGCATATTATGTGCACAGGACCCAGTGCCGCAGACACGGCGGAGATATTTTTCAAAACAAACGACGACATCCAGCAGGTGGTACAGATCAACGTCCAGGATCAATTGGGTAACACACCATTGCACTGTGCAGTGCTAACCGTGCATACGGGCGTCGAAAAATTAATCGAATCGTTGCTGAGAAGAGACGCCAATGCGAATTTGGCTAACATTTACGGTTTGACACCACTGCACATTATTTGCATGAGTTATTGGCATGAAGACTTGGCGGAGTTATTCTTGACGATCTGTGACGAAGTCCGGCAGACGGTGCAGATCGACGTTTGGGATAAGACGGGTCATACACCACTGCAATGGGCTGTGGCAAATTTTTTGTCGAATACTGTCGATTTGCTCTTGAATCGTGGTGCTGATCTGTCAAGCTTCGTATTTCCCACAGAAAAGCACTTCAAAGAGAACTATCGAGTGTGGCCTTGCGATGATAATTTTAAACTGAAACTAGCATCTGGTCTGATGGCTGTCGTCGAGCGTCTGGAAAATAGAGGTTACGAACTCGAGCGAAGCGACGCCTTGACGATCATGAAATTGTTCCATAAATACGAATTATTTGAGAAGGCGGCGGATCTCGACGAATGTTGGTACGATGACGAGGATTTCGCGACAGAAGCAAAAGAAATAAAGATTTATCCGCGGATCGAAAGATTTTACTGTGATGACGATGCGGAGTTCGACAGAGAAAAGAATGAGACAATGATGAGTCCGAGTCTGTCGATCTACGATCTGGTTCGGCTACGACCCAAAGAGGCTGCAAAACTACTCACATATGCGGACTACTTCGAGTTGGCGCACCCGAAAAAATTAAATAAGCCCTGCTCACGTCTTAATGTGGCTTGTCTCGTGCATCTGTGCGAGAAATTATCGAGAAGATTTTTCCGGGCCTATGCAAGGATATGTTTTGCCGAGCTGATACACTATCGTCTGCCAGATTTGTGCTGCGAAATGATCATCGATCAGCTAATGAACCAAGATTTATATCACATTTGCCTGGCGGCTGCAGGCCTAAGCTCGTGATGCTGATAAGCATATTTGCAGTTTTTTTTACTTTTTATTGTATTTTAATGTTGACGATTTTTTATATTTTTAAAATAAATAAACTGAAAAAAATAAAATAAAAACAATTTTGATTTAGATTTTCGATTTGTATTGTATTTTTTAGAATCGGGAGCCGAGGCCGCTGATGAGCCTCGACATACACTACCTTAATTTGCAATTAAACTTAATTTGCTAAAAATTCGGCATTGTTGATGAATTAAATGAAAATAAATTACATTTTCAATTAAAAATAATGTATGTCTGCAAGTAGAGTCACCTACCAAGTGAATGAAAGGTTTCAAAAAAGTTTGCTTAAATTTAGCTCAAATCAATATTTTTAATAAATTAAAGGCTATTATTCAGATAAATTATAATAGTAAATGTCTTTCTTTACTGAATAGAATTTTTGCAGAATTTTCACTCTCAATTTTCATCAATAAAATAACATATAAGGGAAACGATGCACCAGTGAATGAAATATTTTTTTCCAGTAAATGAAACCATTATAATTAATGATAATATATTCAGAAAGTTGTTAAAAACGATTGAAATATTTAGTACTAATGCTCAATTATATTATGAAATTTCACTACCGATGAATTAGTTCAGTATAATCAAATTATATTAATTTGTAAATAAAGTTTCATTCACTGGTGCGTTTTCAATCACTGGGGAGGTGACTCTATACGTATCATATACTGCGATTCATGAGTACAGACATGTGCGTGAAGCCGTAACGTGAACTATCCAAGTATACACGCGAGCTGTACTGTTGCATAAACTCTGATACACGCGGACGAGGTAGACATCGAGAAGCGCGAATCGTGCTCCGGCGTGCCGAGTATTTGCGAACAAACAGATCAAATCGTGGAGATCAGCTGTGCTCCGTGTATGCCTCCTCCAGCATTTCTCGATAAGCTCACTGCACTCACGCACGCACAGGTGTAGAAATGGTTGCGGACAAACATCGTCAAACGCTTCGAGCTTGTGTACGCACGTAAATAAACCAGTCGCTAACGCCACCAAGTGGCACAACTGCAGTGCGCGAGTCGCCGATAAAAACGAAAACGCTCGAAAAGTTGCGCACGAGGTAAATCGCGCGCAATCATTATAGTTAGCTATTTTGTCGACGGCGAGAACTCGCAAAAATGAAAATAAACAGTATACGAGTAAATGTTATTGTTACATTGTTATTGTTCTGTGATGCAGAGACACAGTAAACAATTTTTTCGATTTTTTTCAGATCGATTGAGGGCTCGAGTCGCCACGAGCGATATGCACATGCACACACCGATCGCCGGCGTTAACGTGCGCCGACGCAGCTATATATACATAATACAAGCTCGCGCGTTGCGGTACTGCTATTACCTCATAAGAATACGTACGCCGCTATAACAGCGTGTACTTTTATGCCCGAGTGCATTTTATGTCCAATGCTTTCTGCTCTCGCACTACTCTCTCTCTCTCTCTCTACACGGGCGAACTGCTTATGCTACGTAGAGTCAGCGGCGGCCACTGCTCGAGCAGTCGCGAGAATCTGCACGCGGATCAATCTTGCGGAAACGACCGTGTTGTACTATGCTCGTGCGCTTACTCGGTGCAGCAAAAAATGAAGAGGAAAATATAGAAAGAAAAAATTGCCGCTGATGACTCGATACACACGCGAGGGTTCAAAGAACTCCGAGAATGCGTTATAAATACCTTACTTCCTCGCGGTGAAACTTTTTGTTGACAGTTTATGAAAAAAAAATTCGTCAAAAATATTTATCTTCCGATGAGTAATTTTAGGCAGAACCCAGGTGCATTGCGCACTCATTGGTCGAGAGATTCGTGCAACAAGTGAATCATACATGACTGCGCAAAGAAATATTGAGATTTACCTATCGGATTTGCAGGAACTGTGTGGCTTATGGACTAGTGGCTCGAGCGCCTCCTCGCTGCTGTTGGACAGATGAGACATGCCGGACAGGCTGGACGACGATATGAGCTGCTGCTTCTGCCGCTTACCCTCGAGCTTGCTCACTGTTATGTTCTTCATCTGCGACAGCATTTTGCACCTGCAAAAACACAGAGAAACGTGCAATTTAGTGCGACGTTAACACATACGTTGGAAAATATTATATATGATGAAAAAATTGCGTGCAAAAGGAGAAAAAAAGCGAACCTTTTGCCGATATCGACGCCAGTACAATAAAAGAGCGCTAAGCGAGTTTTTCGATACTTTTCTTTCGCAGGCCTCGATTATATAGGCTGGACAGACGGTCGCGCAAGATAAGTAGTGCCCACGCGAAACGCCGACCAGCAATATAATACAGTGTTTACTCGATAGTAGTATTATAGCCCCGAGGAAGGGATAGGTCTCGCTGTGTATTCGCAAATACACATAACGCCGCGGGCTCGATTGTGTGTCTATGTGTATGCGCGTGGCTCTTACAAAACATTAAGCTTGAAACGCTCCTTGGGCGAGCTTGTATAAGAACCTTACATAAATCAACTTTGCCAAATTGATAATCGAGTTATAGTTTTTCGAGTGTACCCGCTGAGCCGAGCGCTTACGTGCTTACTACCACTACCATTACTACTTTTTTTACAATGTTATATGTATATAACAATCGTCGTAACAAATTTCTAGCATCGAAAAGCACTCGCGCGATGAAAAAGATAATCGATGTGTATATATACCCGCTTTATACTTCGCTCGGATCATTCGCCGCGCACACGGTTGAATGACATTGCGGCTTCGAATTCGAAGTTCGAACGTGTATACGAGAACGATACACGCGAAACTTCGACGAATGTCAGGCCTAAACTTCATTTTCCGTATAGCATCGGACTTCGCGCGCGTGCACCAGGGGGTGCACGTTTCGAAATACGTGTGCGTGCAACAACAACAACAGCAGTAGTAGTATAGTAATGTTGCAAAGAAAAGTCACTCATATACAGAAATGCCAGCGGCAACAGCGTAATCTCATTAAAAATCGGTTAGATGTGGCGTGCGCTGGCAATTTTGCCGGATGTGTATCGGGCGCGTAAAAAAAAAGCAGCCGCGCACACACACGTACACACGATCGCGCGAGCAACTCTTTAAACTCGGTCAAAGCTTCGGCTATTTATACCATGCGTGTGTGTGTGTGTGTGTGTATGACTCGTGAGTATGTATAGGGTATACATGCAGTAAATGCGAAATAGTCGCTGATTGAGGATCGGAAGCGAGCTGTTTCACCATTTTTTCTTCGGTTCTGCTACCTATACACGTCGACTCATTATAGCCTCGAGAGAAGGATTTTTATTTTCTTCCTTTGCATTACATTGTAATTGCAGAACGCACAGGGTCGTTGAACTTCTCCAGCTGCAACATTATTGCTGCAACCGATCGAAGAGGAACGAAAAAAGAAAATCGTCGTCGAGTTACGAATGCAACAACGCGTGGAATATTAATTCGCGATTCGACTTTTAATGACGATCATCGGGCTTCGCGTTTGCACGTATTTATATCTATAGCATCCGCACGCGACGACGGCATTAAATTTGTACTACAGCGATGGCATCGTGGCGCGCGGCGACATTGAAATTGCGGCATTATAGAGCGAGTAGATACGGTCGTCGCTGGACGCTCTACTTTTTGAAAAATCAATTTTACGTTTATAATGTCCATGTCGCATGTGTAAAAGGTCGAGGGGAAATGATCACACGATACCAATCGTGTGTGTACTTGGATAAATCGGTAAACCGTACATATATACTAGATAATAATATGATAATGTCGAGGTAAAAACGTGAAAGATGGAGTGTGGCTATATGTCAGCGACGACGACGACTACGACGATCTCGCTCTCATGAATTTACATGAGTCTTCATAAGACGGTATATATGTACGGGATGGATCAACAACAACGTGACTGTCGGAAGCGGCGGCGGCGCATTTTTGCAACATGGAAATATACAAACATAATAACAGAGCATGGCCTGCAAGACAGAGAGAAGGAGCAAAAAGGAAAGGAGCGTTGTGTGTTGTGTGTTGCTTACTTGGCACCACGACATGAGCGAGCTACGACGACGACGACGACGACTCGACGCGTGATTCATCGACGACGAGTTCTCGCGGCTATATATGCAGGCCGATCGGACGACAATGAGCCTCGCGCAGTATTATCAATGGATATACAGGGAGACAAGCGCCGCGCGCCGTCTTCCACGGCGGCTGTGTGATACACAACACGACTGCAGCAGACGTCGTCGTCGTATTGTTGTTGTTGTTGTAATACGCAGCAGCGGCCCTCGACTCTCCGGCAATTGTAATCGTGGTCACGAAACGTCTATCATATATAACTATACGGTCGGAAGTGGGCCTCTCTCTGTCTCTCTTTCTCTCTCTCGCTGTCTTTGACGATATTTTAGATTTTTTTTCTCCTCTCTTCTTACGGCGAAAGTTGCCTGTTGCGGCTCACTGCTCTTTCGCTCTTGGACTGTCACGACAGAACTCTCCTTATTTACATGCGGGGCTCGTTGAGCTTTGCTCGCAAAACTTTGTGCTTGTGTCAAAATTTGAACCTTGAGTTTTTACAATTTTTTTCAACGAGAATTTTGACTTTGCGATGGCCGAAAAAAAAACAAACAAAATGACTGAACAACGGCTTTATCAATAATGACGACGATGTGCGACAGACAAGCTCGAGTTCGAGTTCTAGGTTAGATAGCTTTTTTTCAGGCTCGCGTCGGTCGCAGTGATAATTTGTGTGCATAGCGTGCGCGTGTATATAGCGGGCGCCGGGCACTGGGCAGGGAGAGAAGCTTGCGGCTAAAAATCGCCAAATACGAGACGAGCTTCAGGCCGCATCGACTCTTGCGCCGCTGTATATGTACAACGCGTCGGATTTATTATTAATTATGGCATCCCTATAACCTCTAAGACTCGATAATTGACACTTTATACACAGAGACGCGCATATACAAAGCAGTGTCGCACACACACGGATACATACACCTATATGTCTCGTGATTCAAAATTTTCAGTCGAAAAAAAAAGTCATCAGTTTATTTGTTTTCCAAACCTCTCTCTCTCTCTCTCTCCCCATCGTATTCGCTCTGTCTCTCTCTCTCTCTCGCATTTTCATCAAGACTAACAGCAGCCCCTCCTGCCACAAAAAAGATGCCCTGCGTCTTGACTAAGCTCGACTTGGTTATTTGAGCTTGGAGAGAAGAACGACCGATCGACGCGATGCCATTCATCGACAGTAGCAACGTCGAGGTCGACGACAAAAATAACAACCACCGCAACAAGAAAAACGCCATTAATAATAACAACATCATCGACAACAACAACAAAAATGACGTCAATCTCAGCGACGCAGACGACGACGAGGACGACGACGATAACGAAGAGTTCGAGATCGCCAAGAACAGCAGGAAGCGTCGACTGCGACACGCCACGAAGCCACCTGCGAAGAGGAGATGCTTCGGCTCGAGTTCACATCGCAGCGATCGTCCACAGACAAGGTCGTCGTCCGCGACATCCATCGCGGAGACGAACGAGAATAACGAAGAAGACGACGACGACGACGAGGGACCCTTCGGATTGAGCTTGCTGTCATTACCCAGCGAGATGCATTTCAAAATATTAGAGTATCTGGACAACGAGAGCCTCGACGCGATGCGCAAGGTCTCGGTCTACTTCGACGCCGTGGCGATCGGCCTCTACAAGACCTACACGGTTTGGCCCGTTTTTTCACATTTACAACTATGATATTGTTAATAACTTGCTCTGTCGGCCCTGCAGATACCACCGAACGAGTCGTCGAATACGGACCAGGTGATCGACGATCTGAAGCGCATGTCCCAGCTCCACACGGTGAGGCTTCACGTGCTCGATCAAGACACGATGGACTGCACGAAAATCCTGCGTCAACTGGCCGTGTCCCAGAGAAAACTGTCCTCCCTCGAGATAAAAGGTGCATTTTATTTTTCACGCGCCTTCTCCCTTGGCTTTCAACGATGAAATCTGTGTGTGTGCATAAACAGCGATCTCGAGGATCTCGTATCTGCCGGCCGGCAACGTGACGCGCCTGATCGAGCGCTGCCCTCAGCTGCAGAACGTCCACTTCCACAACGTGCGGGTGCGCGGCTCCAAGCTCTATCGGCTCCTCGGCGAGAAGAGCTCCAAGCTGCAGAGCCTCTCGGTGACGACGACCTACGGCCAGTTCCAGACGTTTCTGCGCCACCTCAGGCTCAGCGCCGAGCGCGACAGCAAGACCATCGACATGCGCAATCGGGTGCAGTTTCGCAACACCTGGACCCCGATGACCTACATATTCTCGCATCAGGCGATACCGCCGACTGGGCCGACGCCACCACTGCCGCATCAGCAACAACAGCAGCAGCAACAACAACAGTTACAACCACCGCCACCGCCACCAGAGCTTCAGCCAGAACAACAGCAAGAGGTGCAGGCTGACGACTGAGAGCCCAACGGTGGTGGCTTCTTGTACTCGTGCAATCGTTTATCCCCCGTCTCCCTGTGTTTGTTTTTTTACATAAAAATGTGTGTGCGTGTATGCGTGTGTATGTGTGCCTGTGCTTTTTAGACTCTCTCTTCGGGCGGGTCTTTGTCTACGCTCGTTTTTTTTGTTACACAAAGTCATTGCTCGATAAATCAATTGTTATCACTATCAACACATAGATATTATATTTTGTTCGAATATAGATTTACCATATGCCTGCGAAATACGTATCGTCCCGAAGTATCGTTCGATTTGATTTCACCCACGAGAACGCAGCGAGGGGTAAAAAGAATCAAGATCGATATAATAACAAATAAAAACGCCGCCATGGCGCGCGCAGAATCGTCATCGCTAGGGCAGGTGCAGCTTTCGTAATTGAGACCCCCGCAACTATATTATTGTGGTAAAAATACACAGAACCCTGTTTGAACTGCACTGCTTCTTGATTCATGAGTAAAACGACTCATTGACGGTGTCGACAAGTCGATGAATAAATTGAAAAACAATAGGAGCCGATTCATTTCACGCACATGGATAAATCGAAGCTTGGAAAACTTCGAAAGACATTCCGTGTTTTTCCGCTGCTCGATAGAGCGATTGATCGATCTTATAGCAATTTTAATGAAGAGAATGATCGATCAAAGCCGGATTCACTTGTAAGATAGAACAACCATTAGTATAACTGCTGTTTCTATACAAAACATACGCGAAAAATCGATCGATTTACACGTGAGGTGTTTTTATTTTTTTACACGTCTCACACCTGCACCGCAAGTGGCTACAGGATCGATACACGAATTTTCATTAGAGAAACAGTGCAGCTTGTAAAAAAAAAACGTACTTCTATGGCATAAAATAACTAACCACCCCTTAACTGCGGCTCTCGTGCCGCAGACACGCTCATTGGCAATGAAAAGCTTAACGCTCGGCTCGCGTTACAGTTAAATACAAACTCACATACAGACTTTGCATATACATACGACATATACCTATGTATGCATTCACGACGCTTTATCATGAAACTATTAAAACTAATAATCCCACTCTGCGGCTCTTTAATTGGCTACTTGAATCACGAAATTGAAACACACTTTGCTGCTACTGCTGCTGTTCGTTTAAAATTACGTGCTGCTCTACAAAAAAAAACCCTATAATTTTGGAGCTGAAATAAAAAGACTTTTTAACAATGACATTTGAGGGCTGGAGAGTCATAAAAATGTCTACACGAGATAAGAACTCCGCTAACTTGTGAATATATTTGTATACTAGTTGTGCGGGGTAGCAAGCTCACGATATTCATACTCGTATACTGTATGTTTGCTTTCGACTTTCGGCTCGAAATTAAACTTTCATTTACGAAATTAAATGACGGTGGAGAAAAGGCGAGATAAGATGTATTACGAAAAATTTCAGCTCTTCCAGCGAGGGGTAGGTATACCTATTATACAGGATTCGTATAACAAAAAGTAATAAATTGTCCCGTACGTAGGTGCCACACTAAGTCTTTGGTGGGTGAGGCGATTGTCGTGATGGTCGTCGTCGTCGTCTTATCGAAATTCAACTATCGCACGCAACATCCCGATCACGCACGTCTCGAGTCTCAGTATTATATATTCTCCATAAGAATTCGCCAACTTTGTATTTTTGTTGTACGGAGCTACGGTTGTTTTGCCTTAGTGACGTGTGCCTCCACTGCCGCTACATTGTCAGAAAATATAAAGCTTCGGGCGAGCTAAGCGATAAGCTCGACTTTTACGTGGATCGGCTGCGATATACGGGCTCTGCGATGGAATCTACCTATAAGAAAGTTTGAAAGTTGCCAAAACGATTGCCTTTTACAAAACTGGTGCTTTCAGCAAAATCTAATCGCAGAAAAGAAGAGTCGGCGGAGACACGAAGAATGTTTATCAAATGCGAATTTTGAGGAGATATAGAAAACTAAATTTTAATAATTCTTTGAATTATTACAACAAATTTGAGGAATTTGAATTTGTAAATTGTTTGAACTTTTCCATTAATAGTTCTTCCTGATAATCAAGCCTTTCTCTGAGTCTTCCAATTTCAACAAACATTTTCAAAAAATTCTGAAAAATAATAATTACAGTCATTTTATCATCTTTTTCCATATTGCAATTTATTTGCTATTATAATACTCACACGTTGAACTTGTTCTGAATCCTGTTCGTTATCAACATTCACTGAATTCTCTAAGTGTATTTGTCTTTCTTCGTTGGTATTGATGCAATGTTCTGTACAGGAGTTTTCTAAATTTGCATTCTCATTGCTTTGAAGACATATTTTTTTTTCTTCCTGCTTTACGCTGGTGTTATCTTCTAAATTTCCCTTTATTTTTTTATTGGCGTTATTAATATTTACTGAATGTTGTTGGTGGTTTTTCCTTTTCTTATACATATTAATGCTATTTTGGATTCTATTTCTTTGTTTTTTTCCTACTGCATTAATGATCATGGTAGCCTGTTGGCAAACTGGAGAAGAACTAGTTGAATTGTTTCTTTTAATTTCAGCTTGAATCGCTTGACTGTGAAAAAAGGTTCAACTCTTTAGTAAAGTAATCAAGTATTTGAATGATTTCTTTACAACAATACGTTTAGTATTGTATTAAAGAAGCAATCAAAATAATAAAAGAAAGTAAAGCTTATGTACATGAATTCAATTGTACTATAAACAATTTTTTTTCAATTGAATATAACTAACAGATATGCTGATATTAAAAAAAATGTTTTAATTTAAAAAACAAAATACCTCATTTTAATCTTATTATTTTTTTTGCCCTTGTTCTTTTTCTTCTTTGTTTGGACCGGAACACTATGTACCGCAGGTGCAGGTACTGAAATTGATCTTTGTTGATTCACTACAGGATTTGCCACTTGATTTTTTACCGGATTCCCAATCAAATCTTCATTAAAATAACGAATCGGAGCACTTAGCATCGCTGGCGGACACGGAGGAACAAAGTTTATACTCGGTAAGTAATTGTCTTCCACTTTCGGCCCGTAGATGACTGGCGTCAGCGAGCTGCCGAAAGAGCGTTGAAAAAAATTCTGATCCATCGACTCATAGATTTTCGTCGCCTGTAATCCACTGGCACAACCGGACACTGCATTCACGTCGAGCACTGAACTATCTCGTTCGATCAACTCTCTAACACTCATTGCGAATTTGGAAGGATATATTACCCAAGCGAAACAAGCGTTTAGATGTACCTCTCGCTCATCGTCAACACTCCGAGATAATGCTCTCACTCGCGTTTCTCGGTGGTAACTGACACCGTGTATATAATATGAACGATTCTCTCCTTCGCTGTATCTCGAGCGAGAACGAGCCATTCCGCGCGGACAGGTCGAACACGTCCAAAAACATATCGCATCGTTCGCGGAACGACACACGATCGCCATATCTAAAAGGAAAACGTAAACAATGCGTTCCTTGCTTGGTGTCGCATGTTGCGCGATAGCTAGCGATCTAATACTTGTATGACAGATCACAATAACATAATGCTTGTACCAATCGCTAAAGGCACTTTATGTTTTTTTTTACCGTTGAGAGCAAAGCGACCAAATATTGGATTAAAATATATCGTTCATAATTCTTCGCGAGTCGTATTCATCGCACTAATTAAATCAACTTAAAGTGAAAATAGTCGGCGCGGCGGCCACTAATAAGCGTGCGTGTTTCTCCAATTTTATATATTATATACATCTAATAAGTATATATGCATCCATGGCTTATAGCAGATAATGGTAAATATACAGTACACACACAAGAGGCACAATAGCCGGGACACGCGAAGTATGAGGCACTGTTGCATGTGTATATAGTTAAGGATATATACGCGGCGCAGACAACAACACGAGAGAGGATTGTATATCCATTGCATCGAAAACCGCACGTGGAAAAAGGTAAATACGCTACTTTCCCTTATGACTTTGTGCACGACTATATAGTATGTATTCGGCTTATACCGTATAGTAGATATGCATTTGAATTTCAGGCTCGTGCACACACGCACGCACAAACGCTTTCGCCGTTCGTTATATGCATGCACAAGGCATATAGGTATAGGTATACATACTGCGAGCCTCGCGCGCGGCTCGGGTATAAAACAAACGGAGAGCACTCGCGAAAGGTGGGCACAGTGATAAGGGCTTATCGAGTGTCCTGGATTTTCTCTTAGCTAGAGCGTATATTACGATAGTCTACGTGTATACCGCAGTAAGCAAGCGGAGTAAGTGTAACGCAAAGGGCGAATTCGAAGTTGAAAAGTATAGTCGAAGAAACTGGTGGGTTTTTTCTTCTGTTTCTGAATGAGCTGGAACTTTGCAGTCGACTTGAATAAGTCCGAGACCGGTAATTTGAGGCAAATGCAGCTACTGAAAATATTTTCTACTACTGACAATATCTTCTGTAAAATTTTACGTGGAATTCGAATTATGGAATTGTGCATGTCGATTTTAAATTTCACGGAAAATCGGAATGGTATGTACCATTTTTGCACATACAACTATTTCCTTCGTATCAGTTAATATTCACCTTAAATTGCAAGTTTTTCAGTCTCATTTGGCTGGACTACATGTATAGGGCACATATTATATGTGTCAATATTCATCTTACATTCGCGCTCGAGAACAATCAACTGGTTTCAAGAGTGTGCATCGTAATGTAGCGCTCGAGAGGCACATAGAGTTTTTCTTGGAAAAAACCGGTGCATAGTAAGTACGTGTTATATTTATTTATAGTCTTTGCGCTTGTGGGTTGCAATACTAGTTTTCGATTTTTACCGATGGACAAGACGGTGACGACAACGATGAGTATAGAAAATTTCATCGATCGAGTGGACGCAGCAATTTTTTTCTATTTCTCGAGAAAACCGAGGACTATAAATAAGGGTATATAACTTTTAATTGAAAAAAAGCTTAGCATATCGGAACTAGAGTCTAGCCCTGATGCTGAAAAGTTTTCGCAACAAATCTTCAAGGAGAGATAACTTTTCACTGCGAAGGTAATCGGTGATTTAATATATTTAACAAGAAAATCAATTCATCCAAGACGAAAATTTCCTGATAGAGATCGAAACGAACATCCCTTTCGATACGAAATTACGGTATGTTGACCTCGAAGACATTCATCAAGCTTTCGTTGATACAAAGACGACCAAGTCGATTCTTTTTTAGATGGAAGATAGTTAGGAAAAATCGCTATCTATACGTATATAACTTATGGCGCACGAATCGCGTGAGATTGAATATCGAGAAATCGATTCTACACGCCGTAAATCATCGCTAAATGCGATTGCGAGTCTGCAAACAGGTATGTACAGTACACATTACACGCACGAGGATATAGCTTAGGATATCGCGTATTGTATACACAAACGCGCCGAGCGGTCGTTGCACGCGCGCGCGACTCTATATTATAAGTTTATAAGCACTGCACACACATACGCATGCCACGCGTGACGCACGATTACGCCTGTCCGTTCGTATGTGCATCTGTGTTATGTGCCTTGGATACATACAGTGAGTCGCAAGTTGTTATAGCGCAGCGATCTTCAGATTTTTGAGAAATTAGAAATGATTTTCGATACTGGTGAGGCTTGGAACATTTACGCGAGTAATCATAACTAATCAAAACTTGATTAAAGTACGTGTTTCGTTTGGGTGCAGTTTTCACATCGCTCAATTAATTGCGCGCGCGCTCGCTCGCACCGAGGCTGTAAAAAGACATCGATCTTCATCTCGAATCGGTAACTAATAGCTCGAATTTTCTTAATTTTTTTGTCGCTCGAAGAGAAATTGTTCGTGCCTATAAACCAAGGCGACACTACTCTACTCTCTTCGAAATCAAGTTCTATTTTCCCTCGACCGAGCAGTCTATTCGTCAATGACAAGCGTAACATTGACCCTATATAAAGTAAAGTTGAGGCTATAATTCAAATACACGCGAAGCAGCAGCAGCAGCAGCAGCAGCATAGCACGGCTCTATGCATCGAGTCAAGAAGTGTCGGCGGAAAAAGAAAGTGAAACGTTAAATACTTGCGTCGAATTATCGAGTTTTCACCTCAACGTATGATGCAAGTTCAGAAACTAGCTTTTAATTATAACGCAGAGGCCACCACCGCGGCCTGAAGGTGGATCTTGAGGAACTTTGAAGGTGATTTAAACGCGCGCATCAACATGTTTTTCCACAACATTAGCTTCTTTCGCAAGTGTGTTAAGTTTAAATTTGCTATATAAGTTTATGCATGTATGGGCTATAAAGAATAATTAATCAATGGGCGAAAATGTAGGTGAACTACGGTTATATTATTTGACAATGGCGAGGACATTTTTTTTACAAATATATAGCTTATAATATTTGGAGCAAGCACAAATGTTTCTTATGAGTCAAGTTATTATGAATCACACGCACACATATGAATAAGAATTTCAAATAACGATGATCTCGCGACGTTTATATGGGCGGGCAAAGGCTTGAAAATATCTTTTTTACACGGACGAGTGTATAATAATCGTTTTGCTGCAGCCATAATGTGTGCTTTCTTGCATAGATATCGTATGGAAGTAGCGATCGGCTATAGATTGCACAGCGGCAGCGGCAGTAGAAAACATACACATTATACGTCGAAGCTCGAGCGTCTACGTGTATGTGCAGAAATAAGGAATCGGTCGCGTCTCGAGCTGCCGATTATGTCACGCGATGTGCTGCGAGCCGCGCGCGCACGATTCAATGGATTATAATAGTCTATATCCCAGGTATGCATATCGCTTAAGAATCGCGATTGCATCGACACGCCAAGACACGCGGCCGTATAAGTTTTCTGCGTGGCTATGTATCCAAGACTCGCTATTAAATGTGAATCGGCTCCTTCTCTCTCTACCGATCGTCGCGCGCGAAGACATTCCGAGCTCATGTTATATAGGTAAAAAGGTATATAGTTAAAATTAGCGGATCGTCCTTAAAAGAATGCGAATTTATTATTTAAAATCAACCATTTGCTATGCTATGTTTGTACTTTGAGGTAAGTACAAGAAGGTCGACGTCCAAGAAAATCAACAGCAAGGTCGGGTACGGCGCTTTACACGTTTGGAGGCGCGCGGCTAATGTTAGAATTGCGATACAGTTTTAAAAGTAGTTCAATGAGCGCGTGTAACGACATTGGCGGCATCTCGATTGCTGTTTTTATTTACGCTTTGAGAAAATGAACTCGAGCTTCTCCTTAAATAGAGGTTTAAAGTACGATACGATATCCACGTACGAAGGAAGTACCAAAGCGCCAAGCTATCGCGTCAGAAAAATTACAGTTACTTCGGTAATATAAGGAGCTGGATAGTACGCACGGCGTGAATTAGCCTTTGAAAAATTCATGATCGATCGAGCGCGTGCACTGATACCGGCACGAAAATGGGATCAACGACAATGACACTCCTTAATTAACGCGTATGCATTAAAATTACAGATAAAGCTCAGCTTCTAACTTTACACATATGTAATTGAAAGTCAAGTTTATATATCAAACGGCAACTTACGACAATTTGATCCGTACGGACTTGACGGGTGGGCCAAAGACGTGCTTGTGATTGCAATCGCTCGATCTCAGGCCAAAAGCCGAGGACTTCATTACGACGACGTCGGAGCGGAAATAAAAATAATATAAAACTATGCCGGTGCTGCCGAGCGAGTGTGATCGTTGTTGCGTGGGCCGCGAAAGCAGTAAGAGCAGCAGCAGCAGCAGCAGCCGCACAGCAAGTGTCAGAGTCCAGCGGATGTAGCAACACGCTCTCTCGAGAAATGGCACACACAAAAAAATACGCAACACTTATAAGAATACTTACACACGCGGCCGAGCACAAAAATACACGGACGCACACACACACCTACGGCACTTTCGCGCTCATCTCGCGCTGTTTAATTATTTTATATTACGCGCGAACGAAACGCAGGTACCGCCGCGAAAATTAACACGAGTTAGCGAGCGAGCGAAGAAATTTTCTCAGTCGCAAACTGCACTCTATTTTGTATAAACGCGGCTTTTAAACTTCGTAAACAATAATCGTCGTATTGTGTCTTGATATACAGCTCTTGCTCTCTCTCTCACTCGACTCGCTTGCACATATAATACGATATCGTTTAGAAAATCGGTCTGATAAAATTGAAAGAGCAGAGAGAAAAAAAATTGATAGACTCGAGACACAAGGGGGATGTTACTTCGCACGCGAGTCTACTACAATATATAATGTGCAGTGTGCATTATT